AAAACAAATCCCGAATCACCAAAATTTTGTCTCAACTGGGGGCTCCTGAGCTAGAAGAGAGATAATATTATTGATTTAAAAAAATATTTTCTAAATAATGTCAAAGCTGAGTATAAACTGAATCCAGTGTTTCCCTTAGGTGAGAGTTAATTGTAATTGCTGTCTTGGAGGGAGAATGGGCTGGGCTGTTAACTTTGAAACATGGTTCCTTCTTCTTTATTCCTCCCTCCATATGTAATCAAAGGAAACTCTCCAAAACGGTGATGTGAAAAGCAGTGAGTGACTAGAGAGTAGGTCATACCCAGTGTGAGAAAAAGAAAGGTGACTGGAGAGGATTGGCAATGCTTACATTGCAAAAGTAGAGGCCAGAGAAGAGGGAAGGAGTATCCTCTGGCTTTCTGCCACCCAGTAGGTGAGTTTTTCCATCTTATACTAACAAGCCTCACAGACCCTGGCTACAGCCTCATAATCGGTCTCCTTGTTCTTAGTCTTCCCTCAGCTGCTAAGGATATATTCCTAAAGCTTGGACTCATCTATTATGTCACTTTCCTGCTGAAGAAACTTTAGTGGTTCCCTTCAGCTTTTAGGATAAAATACAAGTTTCTCTGTTTGGCTTTTCAAAGGCTTTCATGTCTGACTCCAGGCTTATTTCACATTATTCTCCCTCACGTCCTCTATGCTTCAGCCAACTTGAAGTACCTGAAATACAAAAATGAAACTCTTCTTTCTAAGCCTATCCCTGGAATTCATTTCTTCCTTATCCCTGCCTCTCAGAATCTCTAGCTTCTTTCAAAGCTTAACTCAAGCATCACCTCTTACAGGAAGCCCATCTTGATTCCTGGTTGTTAGTGCCTTCCCTCTAGAAATTACTTTCTACGTATATGTGCTCTTTCTTCCCAATAGACTGTAAGCTTCTTAAGAGCAAGGACTATTTTGATTTTGTCTTTGTATACTCAGTACCTGACACATAGTAGGTGCTTAATAAATACTTGCTGAATGAGTGAACATAAACATATCTGGGAAGGTGAGAGTTAGAGTCTAAATATAATTGTTCTACTCTCATTGATGAAAAAAAGTTGGTTATATAAATTTTTACAGAGCTTTTTCCATTTATAATCTGTTTTCTTTCCTCCAGTTTCATCCTAAGATGCCTGGTCTCCTGCAAAGCTGTCTTTAAACTTGTTTTGTTGTTCATTGTTTTTCTTTCCTTTCTCTTTCTCTGTTTCTCTCTCTCTCTTTCTCTCCCCACCCCTTCTCCCTCCCTCTCTTAATGAGGCAAACACAGTTTTTAACCTTCTATATTCTTCACTGTAATATTTCATGAGTTTATATTCTAAACTGGTGTTGCCCTTGGCTGCTATATCTTTCTCCTTGGCAAAGAGACCAAGTTTTGATGGCTACAGCAGTTTCTGCAGCCTTTTGGTTTCCTCATTATGGCAATTCATTTATATTGGTTAAATTATCATAATTTGTGTCAATTTCTTTTTCTCCATTGCTCATGTTTTGGCATCCACAGTTTCTCTGGGTAGATCAGGATGGAGGTGTTTTAATTATGCTCCAAATATTTTTCTCATTTGTATTCTTTCTTCTAGTTGTGTATTAATTATGATCTTCACTCTAACACAGCAGTGTTACAGTTGCACAGTTAGACTGTATAAGGTACCTGATTAGGAAACCACTCCTACATTGGTAGCAAGTCATTGATGATCTGTAAAATGTGATCAATTTCATTTTCTGTTTTTACATAGTACTTGCCATGTCAAGTACTTCTTAACTATTTGGGGGGGTGGTGTTAGGCAATGGGGTTAAGTGACTTGCCCAGGGTCACACAGATAGTAAGTATTATGTGTCTGAGGCTGGATTTGAACTCAGGTCCTCCTGAATCCAGGGCCGGTGCTCTATCCACTGCGCCACCCAGCTGCCCCCTTAACCCTTTTCTTGAAGAAATAAATTCATGATTCATAGGTGGGAAGCTTTTGTATACTCTATAAGCCGATTTCTTTCCTTCACACTCTTGAATCATATCTTCCACCATATTTCTCATAAGTCCCCTATCCCCTTGTCCCACCTTTGCATTGAAGTCCCTGAATACCAAAGTTAAATTTACATTTGCTGATTTAATTTGGATATTCATATTAAGTTCTTTGAAGAGTTTTTCTACCTCTTCATCCTCTGCAGCAGATGTTGGCACATAAACTGTGATTATCTTCCTGGTAGGCTTTCTGTAAATACTTATCAGCACACTGCAACAGATGACAAAATGTCCTCTGAAACCGTTTCTTTTTTCTGTAATCATAACAAAACCAGCTCTTTTCTTTGCCTCTCCAAGGGATAACCTATAAACCATCCTTCCCTTTACCTACAACTTCCTTTTGTTTTCTAAGTTACAAGTCTTAACAATACAACCACTTCCCTGCCCAAAGGGCTCAGGGGCTGGGCCCTCTCCCTCTCTACTAAGCACACCCTCTCAGCTCTGGACCCATTCACATGTAGACAGACCATGTTCCAACTTTGGGGAACCTGAAATTCAAAGAGAGGAGTCAGGTTTGAAGGGGATGGATGCTGGGTATATTGTAGAATCAACAAACTTCAGCAACTGATTGAATAGGAAAAGTGAGGGGAAATGAGAAGCCAAGGATTTGTAGCATGCAGACATGGTTGACTGGAAGGCCTAAAATAAATGGAAATTTAGGAAGAAGGATGGGTGTGAGGGAGAGAGAAAATACTCTTTTTTCTATGTCTTGAGTTTGTGATTTCTAAAGGACATCCATTTGGAAATGTCCAATAGGTCGTTTGTGTTGCAGGGCAGGAGCTCAGAAGAGCCTAGTGGTAGGCAGAAAGCTCTTGGAGTCATGGATATAGATGGAAATTGACCCATGACACTCTGCCATCACCAAAGAATTTGTCACCAAATGGCCAGCCTGCTATTGATAAGCCTCTCTTGTATTTAGTTAGGCTGGTCTTCAGAAAGAGACATGGGACTGTTCTTGAAGCCTTTCCCACAAAGTGTAACTGGCTAGAGTTGTTGTTTGTTGGCATAGACTTGCAAAACCTGGAGGTCACCTCCAAAGTGCCCTGAGGCATTGGAGTAGGATTTTGTGCAGGTTATTATGATTAATAACCATCAATCAATACTAATAGCCAAATATATATATATGTAAACACACACACATATGTATATACATATATTTGTTGTTGTTCAGTCATTTTTTGTCGAGTCTGACTCTTCAAGTCCAACCCATTTGGGGTTTTCTTGGCAAAGATACTTGAGTGGTTTTTCCATTTGCTTCTCTAGCTCATTTTTACAGATGAAGAAACTGAGGCAAACAGGGTTAAATGACTTGCCCAATGTCACACAGCCAGTAAGTGTCTGAGGCCAGATTTGCACTCAGGAAGATGAGTCTTCCTGACTCCAGACCCAGTGTTCTATCCACTGTACCACCTAGCTGCCTGTATTATGATTAATAACCATCAATAAATACTAATAGTCAAATATGCATATATATATGTGTGTATATATATATGTGTGTGTATATATGTGTATATATATATGTGTGTATATATATATGTGTGTGTATATATGTGTATATATATATGTGTGTATATATGTGTATATATATATGTGTGTATATATATATATATATATATATGTATCAAGGAATATAATTTTACACAAAGCCCTCAGCATTAAAAAGTAAAACCAATTAAGTTAACAGACCAGCCCCCAGAATGCATTTTCTCTGTATCCCTTTCCAAGTCTGCTTGCCTCTCCCTTGGTTTTGTCTTCTTAAGTTTTTAGATAAATACTTGCATATCAGTGTGTACACGGTTTTGGTTCTACTGGTCTCCATCTGTATTACTTTATATAGTTCCTTCCATATTTTCCTGTGTTCCTCATGTTTATTGCTTTTATGACACCATAATATTTGATTATATTAGTGCATACTAATTTAGCCATTCTCTAATTGCTGGACATAAATGTCACTTCTAGTAACTTGCTATTATAAACAAAACAGCTATCACCATTTTTTAACATAGGTTCTTTTTATCCTTCTACAATATTCTAAGGATAAAATCCTAGCAGTGGAATCACCAGACCAAAGAGTGGCCTAATTCATGACTCCTCCTAAATGTTGCCAGGTTGCCCTTCAAAACGTTTGTTTAACTTCTAAGTGGCATTATTGTCCCAACCTGATTGGATTCACCAAAAGAACCAAGCAAAAGCAATTCTTCTGCTGACTGTGGATGTAGGGGTTGGGGGTAAGTGGGTAATACATGCCCCTCAACACAAGAGGGAGCCATGGGGAAGTGTCAAACTTTCCATGGTTCTCAGAGAGCAGAGAACTTCAATCCCCTAAATTGGGGGGGGGGGGAGGAAGAATACGTGTGTGTACGTATGTATGTATATGTGTGTATACATGCACATGCATGCACACACAGAATTACTACATACAGAATCAAAACAAAAGGGGGGGGGCATATGTAGAAGACTTACTAACTGGTCTTGTCCCAGAACTCAAAGCAACACTCTAAGGGACGCTAGCTGTAGCCAGAAGTAATCTGGGGAGCAGGGGGCAAGGTATGTAGAGAGGAGGGGAATATTCCCATGGCTACTTTAGCAATTGTTGCTGGAGGTGTCCAGTTGAGGTTAGGTTATAACTGCCTTGACAGAACAGAATCGGAGAGGACGTGGGGGAATGTTGGGGGGAAATAATGGATAAAAGATAGGCATGGCTGTATCGGAGACAAGTCTCACGATTGGTTATGACAGAGAGGGTGGGAGTCAACCTATCTTCCCAATCTCTGATTGGTTGATCAAATATCTCTTGGGGTTAAGCTCCATCTTTGGACCCTGCTAATCTAGACTACGGGAAGCAGTTAGATGGGCACTCTCTTGAGTCCATTAGAACAATGTTATTTTATTTTGTGTATTTTTTTTCAGTACATATATTTTAGACAAGCACTTTGAATGGACAATAATTTGTGGACACAATTGAATAGAAGGAAGGGGTGTGCTGGGTCACACATTGGAAATTGAACAATGCTTCCAATGAACACAACCTGTTCTCTACTACACATACACGCACACACACACACATATACACATATATGTATACATACATATGTATGTTTATATTTTAAAAGTTGTTTTTACATCAAGGTTATTTCTGGATATACTTCTCTCCATTTCCTCCTTCATTGCTGAAACCTCCCTTCAAAGAAAAACAAACAAAAAATAACCAATACAGTACATGCACTGAATTTATAGTAAATAGAGAGGCAGCCTTGAAGTCAGAAAGACCTGGGTTTAATTAAGCTTTGCCTCTGACAGCTCTATCTGGATGTTTGATCCTGGACAAGTTATTTAACTTAACATCTTAGGGCTTTCAGATAACTTACTAAGACTATGAAACTGTGGAAACACTGCAGAATTTGCATTGGTAGAGGGAGTTTTCTCAGTGGGAATTCCCTACACCAATATAATCATGGCAATGACAAATGCAAACTGCAGTCTGCAGGCATAGTCCCCTCCCTCTCTTCCAACAGGAAGGATGTATACTTCTTTATCCTCCAGAACCAAAGTTGGTCACCCCAGTTACACAGAGTTTGCCCTTCTTTTAGTATTCTTTCATTTTCATTGTTGTAGTCATAGTGTATCTTTTTCATTTGTTTCTGCTTTACTCCATTATATCAGAAAATCAATATTTTTAATGACAATATTCTTCTGGGGATGCCACATTTCTGAATCATGGAATACCTCAGAAGAATAAAAATTGCAAGTGACCCAAGCAGTGAAAAGACATATAGTGGGTGACTAATATGTTGCTGCGTATTTATTGCCAGTGATGATGTGAATATGAGAAGTTATGTGAAAGTCATACATCAAGGTCACCTATGAGTGGAAAAGGAGGCCGGCCAGTAATGAGACTGAGGGAAGGGCAAAGTATTGCATCAGCAGCCACAAAATACAGGGTATCACTAAAGTCTTAGTACAGTTTTAAGTGATTAAACTTTACTAGCTGGAAACTTGCACTAAGATTTTTGGGACACACTGGATTAAAAGAACCAGAGAAAAGTTTCCAGTGTAGTGAGATGTAAGGAAGGACAGGGAAAAGAATTGAATAGAATGAGATAAGGAAGAGGGGTGATCTGCATTGGTGAAGGGGTTACCCATTATATAGCAAATCCTTGAGGGATGTTTATTCTTTTCTTTTTTCTTTCTCTCTCTCTCTCTCTCTCTCTCTCTCTCTCTCTCTCTCTCTCTCTTTTTTGCCACTGTATCCTCAGGACCCAGAATGTCACCTTGTACATGGTGATGCTTAATAAATTCTTGCCAAAATGATAATTTAAAAATAACCCAAATGTATGTGATACTTTAAGGTTTACAAAGAGTACATAAACACAATCTCATTGATGCCCCACAATCATAGGAAGTCTGTATTTCAATCCTCACTTTACAGATGATAGAAATAAGCTTAGAAAGGTGAAGTGACTTGTTCATGGAAGTCAGTGTGGAAAGACAAGGGTCAAACTCAGTTTTTCCTGACTCCAGCATTTATGGTAAGAAAGAAGTGGAGAGCCCTGGGTGTGGAGTCAGGAACACCAATCCCAGACACATACTACTTATGCGTCACTGGGCAAATCACTTAACCTCTGTCTCAGTGTCCTCAACTGAAAAATGCAGGTAATAATATCACCCATCTTCCAGAGTTGCTGTGAAGATAAGATAATATTTGCAAAAGCCATACGTACAGTGCCTAGCATAAAATAAGTATTTAATAAATACTTGTTCCTTCTCTCCCCTCACCCCAACTACTACTTATGAATCCCCTGGAATACAGAGCTATGAAATTATATTTTATCAGTCAATTTTAGAGGCCACTAGGTATCACAGTGCATAGATGGGCCTGGGGTCAGGAAGACCTGAGCTTAAATAGTCTTGTCTCAGACATTTAACTAGCTCTGTGACTGAGCAAAGTCGATTTAGTTTCCTTAGCTGTAAAATAGGGCATCTTCCACCCAGTGTTGTTGTGAGGATAAAATGAAATATTTGTAAAGTGCTTCTCAAACCACTATTTAAATGCTATCATTATGTCAATTATATATTTGTTATCATATGGAAAGGGAAGGGCCATAGACTTGCATAGTAATTGAGCTTAATTAAGAGATTTTAGCTCAGGATAGGGGATTCCATGACTGGGACTACTTCAACATAGTATTGTTAAAAAAAAATAAATATTGCAAAGAAAAATCTGATATAGTAGAACCACCTTTTAAAAATTGCCCCTTTTTTCCAGAGCAATGCACAAGGAAGCCAGTGTTCGTCTCCTTCCAGGATTTTCAAATGTATGCAACTTTCTCACTAAAGTCAAAGTAAATTTTTCTCCCCCTAATCAAATAAGGAACTCTTTCCTCACAGAGGATTGCCATTTCACCACTTTGTAGTTATTTATGAAACCAAAATGTTCGGAAGGGTAGTTTGCACAGTAAGAAAAGTTATCTGGCTTCATTTGTCCAATTTCAGAATTATGAAAGAAGCAAAAGTCCTTTCAAAGACCCTGTCTCCCTTCCCTACTGCTCTCACCATCCAGTTAGCTATGATCCTCCGAATATGGAAAGTTTCAGGCCCAATGAAGGATTTTTCTGTAAATTCCAGGCTTTATGGAAAGACAGAGATGGAAGGAATTTTGCAACTGAAATAATTTTGCAGCCTTAACGTTTGTACTAGAATACAAAAATAACCCTGTGAAAGAGTTGGTACAAAGTCGTAATTTACAAGCCTATTTGAGGGGATTTGAGGATAGGCGAGAGGGCTCTGAGAAACGAAAAGAAAGTTATTTTAACACAACTGAAGCTAAGTATGTTTAGTAAAACACCCAACACACCGCTGACTGACCTGACTGACCCGGCTTAAGGATTTGGCTAACAGCTAAAGTTAGTTGGATTTTTTTTAAATGTCTCTTCTTCCTCCACCATTCCTTTATCACTTGTGCTTTGTGCATGTGTGTGACGTTTCAGAGTTTCCAGGGACTTCATTTCTTCTAGGTCACTTCGAGCTCCAGAATAAATCCATAGTTCCAGAAACCCCGAGAAGCGCCTTCCCAAACTAAGAAGCCAGTTCCAAACAGCAAAGCAACGGAGAATGGAGCTGCACCAGCATGGAAGCTGTAGCAACACTTGAAACATGAAAACATCGCCAGAACAAGCCTTTCCCAGGGAGGCCGTGTCGCTGCAAAGCCGTACCAAGGCGGCTTTCACTTCCTCCTTCTACCCGCAGAACAGCACTGAGCACGTAAGGTCCAGAGAGATGCTATTTGGGACAAAGGGACAACCGTAAGGCCGTGGAGAGAAAATATAAATCTGCAGCTGTCCGGGTGCCCCTGATCCTGAAGCTCCGAGGGCTCCAGCGAGAGAGACGAGCTGCTCAGTCACATCTGCAGTTTCGCCTGGAACTGGAGCAGGAGCAGCAGCAGCAGTAGCAGCTGCAGGGGGCGGCGGCAGGAGTTGTTGGGTTATAGGGATCCAGACTGAGAGTCTCCCCTTGCACCACTAGGAAGTGACGACTTCGCCCAAGTCCCCAAAGAAACAAAGTTTGTGTTTGTGAATTGTTTCCCTTCCCTCCACTCCTTTACACCCTTTGGAGTGGCCCAGACGGAGATTTTCGCCCACCAAGGTGAGTAGCCCAAGAGGGGAAGGGCCCCCCCACCCACTCAAGCCCCTTCAGGCTTCCTTCTTTTCCTTCCCCCCTCCTCCCCCTTCCCATGGAAGGGGATTCTTCTCTTTTTCTTTTTTAACGGATTTATGCATTCGGTTTCCCGGCTGGGCACAGGAGGGGTCTGCGTTTTAGGGCGGTTTGTTGCGTTTGCCTGGCCGGACTAGAGTTGTTGGGGCCCGGTGGTGGGGTAGGGGAAAGAAAACAATCGGCCGCTGCACTTTTGCGGGGTGCTCCCTGCAGCTCGGAGAGCTCTTTGGGCCGGGCTCCCCTTCCCCCATCCTCTGCTGCTTCTGCCTGCACCCACAGCGCACCAAGTGACAGGCACAGCTGACTGCCTTGGCCCAGGGCTCCCGGCCCGGCGGGCTGAGGCCCCAGCCTTGGAAGAGACTAGCTTGCCCGCCTTCCTCCCGGCCCCGGCTAGCTCTCTTCTTCCTCCACCCGCTACTCTCGGGAGTCGTCCAAAAACAGCTAATCGGCAAAGCGTCTGCGCTCTGGGCGATCACTTTATGGGGGAACAGTCTGCACAGAGTTCCGCAGTCCATTTTCCCTAGTTTCACCAAAGAGAGAGAGAAAGAAGGAAAAGTTCGGTGTTTTCCAGAGAACCAGACTGTTTTGTTTACCCCTTAACTACTAGTACTCTCCCCACCCCCACTCCCCTATTTTTCTTGCTTAGGACATCTTCCTCTTCTTCCCTTCTTCTGTAGTTTGAGAAAGAAAGTTACAAGGAACTCCTTTTCATCCCCCACCCTCTTTAATTTACTTGGCTATTAAATGACTAAGATCAATCAAACTTTTCAGTTTGAATAAAACACACAAATCTGGCCTCCTAAAAAACTCCCTTCACAGCAAAACCTGAAAATATTTGAATAAATTCATTATCACGTCTCCACGACTCCCACCCCATCCCCACCACCTACTCCCCCGCCGCCCCATTCGAACAGTTCTTTAGCAGACTAATTGCTAAGGACTATTGCGTCTGCAGTTTATCCATAAAACTGCCAGCACGCCCACATACATATGTGAGTGTTTTATATATAAAACTCACAATTTCTTCCTTCTGATGGATTCTGGCATAATATCGTTTTTGTGAAGCTCTTGGTGTTGTAGAAGTGCGCTGGGGATTTTTTTGGGGGGGGTACTCTTGTAAAGTATCCTTTTAAAAATAATAGCTGAGAGATGTCTGACCCCGCCAAAGCAACCCTAGTGGAGTACAACTCTGCCCGGCGGTGCAGAGGTTTTCTTGCACGTAGAGTCTGCCGGGGACTGGGAGACTGGGGGCGTGCACGAATGCGGCCCTTCTAGAAGGGAGGTCACTAAATGCAGAGATGTGGGGATCAGTTGTCTCAAGGGCGAAATATTGCAGCAGTTTCATGATGGCGGCGTGTAATTACTGTGGGATCTCAGCCTCTGGCTTTGTTGGAATGGATGTTGATACACCGGAGCAAGGCTTTGGCTGGGTTGGAATGGGGAGGGGGCGCGGGAAACAAAACGCAGGTTTGCATTGCAAATGCAAGAAAGAATTCAGGCTCTGTTGTGTTGCCAAGTTCCGGTTTGCCCCTTAACTTCTAGCAGGTGATTTATTTACTCGTCTCTCTGGCCCCCAATTTTCCTCTTCCTAGAGTACCTGCCAAATAACTGAGAAAGGAAGGCAGGAGGAGAGATTGAAGCACTCTACCGCCTCGCCTACCTATTTGGGACTGGGACTTCCAGTCAAAAAAAACAAAAACAAAACAAAACATAAAGTTCAGGGAAATTCGCTCTACCAAGTTCCCTTTGAAAAACTCTTGAAGAGGCAAGGTCCAAAAGGGATTCCGTAGCTCAGGCCAGGTCCACTTTCTGCAGGAGGCCTTTCTCTGTTTCCCCCCCCACCTCCAAAAGCTAGTGCCTCCCCATTTAGATTATTTTCTCTGCTTATAGGTATTTAGTTATTTCTTACTTCTAATTTATATATAGTTATTTCGATATTGTTTCCCCGGTTAGAATATGGGTTTCTTGAGGGCAAGCACTGTTTCTGTTTTTAGTCTTTATTTGTATCCCCAACATTTTAGCACAGTGCTTGACACATATATATTAAGTACTTAATAATTGTCTGTTGACTGGATGGCTGCATGTTGCCTGACTGAGGACACACCGGGTGTGGCTGTGTTTCTGAGAGCAGTGTTAGAAATCAATGACTGCCTGTTAGACTTTGAGCTCTGGCCTTCGTGGCCAGCTACAAAAGCTGTTGTTGGGGCCTGATTTCGTTATTGTGTTCTGGGCAAAAGAGGAAAAAAAACAGACCCAAGACACTATATATGTATAGAAGGAGGAGGAGGAAGGATGTGTCATGAATATATCACCTTTTACCCAGAGGCCCTTTCCAGCTTCATAAGTACTAACTACTCCTGTTCCAGGAAAGGACTTGGACCCTGGCCTGGCTCATTTCTTTTATAAACTTGAGAATCCCGTCACATAGGTAGTGAGAGATCTATAGCTGGAAGTTTTCCTCAAGTCAATCTTATACCATAGGACAAGCAGTGTGTGTGTGTGTGTGTGTGTGTATGTATACACACATATGTATACATACATATGTATTTCTATATATAATGCATGGTACAGATATATAGCGTAACTCCAGTCAAGTATTTTAAATAAAAAAAAGTAGGGTGAAGGACAGGCATGGAGGGCAGGGATGTCATTTTTGTGTAATTGTGTAGCTCAAGCTCTGGTTACTGGGAGGTGTATGTTAATTGACACTCCTTTGCATGTTGCTTTACAAGTGTTCTTAAGCCTGCATCCCTCAGTTGTGACTTCTGTCTCTCTGGAATCCTCCCCACCCACCTCTGGCAACCAGTTCAGGCTTCTGGAGGTGAGTAACAGCTGTTAACTAACCAGAATGAGCTTCCTCTGTTGTGATCATGCTGGGCATGCTTTTGGTCACACCTGGGAGGTCCTGGAAAACCAGGCTACATTTCCACATAAGTTGCAGATAGCTTCAGACAGAGAAAAACCCTTCTTTGACCATGAATACTCTTATCTCCAGTAATTGCAAGAAGAATCTGTACTTAGTGTAAAATATCAGAAGCCATTTTTAGTGGAAAGAGGGACTGGATCTGGAATCAGGAAGATGGGTTCAAAATCTTTGATCTTTACTAGTTGTGTGACCACAGACAAATGACTTAACCTCTCAGCCTGTCTTCATCTCTAAAATAGTAATAGTAATACCCCTTGGCACTCACTTCCCAGAATTGTTAAGAGTCGAATATCTTAAAGTCTCATGTAAATGATAGTTGTTATTTTTATTATCAGGAACAACCTAGATCATAATTCTTGCCTTTGCCCACAGGATGCTTTTCTGGAATGTTCTTCCTGCTCCAAAATCAACCCACTCTTTTATATCTTGCCTAAGTTTCAAGGTATTTGGTTCAGTAGACAAGCACTATATTTACCATTCCTGGGCATTGTGCTTAATAGTGGGTGTGAAATACCATGCTGACCCCAAAGGTCATGTTTTATACGTTTTAAGAATCTTACCTAAGTGGACCAGATTTTTTTCTTTTGGCCTCTAACTGGGATTTGGTTAAGTGTAGCAAACCCCTGGTACAGTGGAAAGTAGAGGCAGAGGACCTGGCTACATCAGCTGCCTCTGATGCTTATCACCTGTGGGATCCATGAACACATTTTTTTTTCCCTCCATAGAGCTGGTTGTAAAGATTTACCAGCATGCCACTGGCCTAAGCTGTTATTGCCTTTTTTGGAGTTGGTTAGAAGTGTGTATTACTTTGCATTTTAGGGGAGTTTGCAGAAGATAAGTGCCCAAATAATCATCCTGGAGTTTGGGGCCAGGAATGCAGGGAAGGGGAGGGGCTGATTGCTAAGGGCTAGAGGGAGAAAACAAGAGCAATTGGTAGGTCTAACTGGGAGCCACCCAGCAGCTGGTGAGCAAACTTGAATGATTACAGGAGTGAGAGCCTAACTCTGGTTGGTAGTTCTTCATAATTCATGCCCTCCACTTTGCGTCCCACCCCACACCCCCCTTTCTGCTTCTCCATTATACTAGAATTTGCACAGTAGTTCCCTAAGACCGGAAACTTAATCCTTACTTCCTCTCCCACCTTACATAAAATGCTGATTTATTAGCCAGGCTTGCTGCTGAGTTCATGGGACCTAGAACTACTTTATAGCATTTGCCTACTGGGAGCCTGTAAAAGCTGTGAATAAAAATTGAATATAGATTTTTTGTTAAACCCACTTACCTGTACTGTGGGATGTGGGAACGTGCCACACATAGGGTTCCTGGAGGTTGATTATGGAGCTTAATAATGCTTAGAGATTACTCTAAAATGCTGCCCTCTGAGCCAGCTGGACCTGGCTCCCCCCCCCCGACCCCCCAGTGTAATGAGGAAGCTCCATTATGCTCTCTCTGCCCCACATCTGCATTTCCATTCATCTGGTGGCCTCCTGACAAACTCCCTCCTGAAACCATAATGCTCTGTTTTGACATCACTGTTTGTTTCCTGAAAGAGAGGCAGAAACACCCCCCCATTGATCCGGAATTCCTCCGTATAACAAACCTTTGCAAATTTCCTGATACTGTGTGTATTGATGCTCAGTCTATCAACCTCACTTCCTCCTTGAAAAGAACCCTTCCCCCATTTTATTTCTCTTTCTCACTGAAAAAGCCTTTAGTGAAGACAATTAACAAGAATAGCAAATAATTGATAAATAAAGAAAATGCCTAGTATGTATAAGGCTTGAGAGGAAGTGTAGAAGAAGTCTTGGAGTTAGAAAAACCTGGTTTCAAATCTTGCCTGATACTGACTGGCCATGTGATCCTGGGCAAGTCACTTAACTTTTCAATGACTATAGGCAACTCTCTGACTATAATTTATAACACTAGTTGCCTATCTGCACAGGGTGGGAGTGGTTTCCTTACTAGGGCTTCCTACACCATTGAAATCACAGATCAAAACCAAAA